GGGGATGGTTTCAGGATGATTCAAGTGCATTACATTTGTTGTACAGTCAAACCTCTTTGCTATTGATAATCTGTATTTGCAGCCGCTCCACAGCACTAGCATCACTGCCTCAGTTCCACCTCAGATCATCAGGCATTAGATTCTCATAAGGATCACGCAGCCTAGATCCCTCGCATGTGCAGTTTACAGTAGGGTTCGTGCTCCTATGAGAATCTAATGCCACAGTGATCTGACAGGAGGCGGAGCTCAGGTGGTGATGCAAGCAATGGAGAGCGGCTATAAATACAGATGAAGCTTCCCTTGATCATCTGCTGCTCACCTCCTGCAGTGCGGCCTGGTTCCTAACAGTCCATGGCCTGGGGATTGGAGACTGCATTCTTAAGGGATCATTTATATTGTTGAATTCTCCATGATTCAGTGATTCCTGTAGGCTCAGAAACCTTCTCTTTTTATACAGTAAGAATAGATGAGACTATTAGGGGCAGATTTAACATTAACCATGAGAGACTGATTAATTCGTTTATCTTCTAATCTACATATGTTTATTTGCAATAAGAAATGGAACTGTCAAGCAGACTAGATATTTTAAGTCAGTCTGCCCAGCGTATTCAAAGGTTGTTTGGCAAGCATGGAATCCAAAGGGATTTATTAATAGTAGACCTTTAGAACTGGAGTCCTCTCAGCTAGTATAGGTTGGGGAAGTCTCATTCACCATAAACATGTTGCTGCCAGAGAACCAGTAATGTTCAAGTTAGCTTAGCTGAGAGTCTTTTTGTCCTTAGATAGTAACTTGAATGGATACAGCAAATGTTTGCCTCTGTGATTATCTACCTCATTCATTTGTTTATTCATTTACTTATTGCTTCTAGGGCTGATACATTTCCTCTTCTGATAAATAGTTCTTTCTTTGGATAAATCAATACATTGAGTTTGGTAACTGTCATATCTTACAGACTAGAGAACCATTCTATCTCTTTTAGGCTTAAAGTCTCAGATCTCTACTTCAGTCCATTTTGGTTTGATGGTTTCATTTTCAGGTATTTTTGAGTTTGGAAATGGTGAATAGGCAATATCACGAACATCTTTCCCTTCTCCTCCTTTCCAACTTCCCACTACCTGGAAACACACTTCCTTTTCTATTGCGTGTGTATGTTTTAAAAAAAAAAAAAAAAAATTCAGTTATTAGCCAGGATCACTTTTCAACCCTTTTTGTTGATGGAAGATGGTTTGGCACTTCACGTCCCTGGCATATTTGACATTAATTATAAGCAGGTCTGTTGTTTCAGCCAGCAATTCCTATATTTCACCTTTTGATATTTTTAAGTGAATCTGATAATTATTACCTGTTTTGTTGATTTGGTTTAGAGTATCTTATGGATTTTTTGTGTTTTGCAAGCATGAAACAAAGTTTATTGAGGAAGGACAAGATAGGTTTAAAGAGCAAGAGCAAGATATAGGTTCACAGAGTAAGAGCAAGATACGTTCACCACAGACAACAAACAGACCTCTTGTCATAACAAAAGCTCTTGTGGATTTGTAATTTATCTTTTACGTAAATCAAAGAATGTGATCTTTTAATTTGATCTTTTTTCAAATTTATGATAAAAGAAGATGATGATTTTTCTAAAATGTATTATCATTGTAAAAAAGATAATTTGGTCATCATGTTTTCCTAGGAAGAAATATTGAGATTTAATACTAAAGCAACAAATATTTGTTATTTTATCGTATCAGAAAATCAGAATTTTTATGTTAAAGAATCAGTGAAATAGAGTGACATTCACTCTAAAAATAGACTACATGGGTATCCAGAATTTCATTCATGCTGTACTATCATCTTGACTGCCTTTTTATTCTACTTGCCATTATCAGATGGGGTAACCTATTTACTTTAAGGCAGTCAGCTCTCTGTCTGAGGTAAGTATTTTTCTAAGCCCAAGAAATAACCCTTTTATTGGGTTAACAGTCTCTAATGAGAATACCAGACTTGTATCTAATTAAGTTAAAAGCCATTTGGATGCAAATAGGACCTTCAATACAGGCAAAACTCCCGGCTTATTGATCCTTTCAGATAAATACACATGCCAATAGATGCTGAAGTTATCCTTTACTTAGAGGACTACGTGTTTTTTGTTTTTTTGTTTTTTTGTTTGGAGACAGAGTCTCACTGTCTTGCCCGGGCTAGAGTGCCCTGGCGTCATCATAGCTCACAGCAACCTCAAACTCCTGGGCTCAACCAATCCTCCCGCCTCAGCCTCCCGAGTAGCTGGGACTACAGGCACACGCCACCATGCCCGGCTAATTTTTTTCTATATATTTTTAGCTGTCTGATTAATTTCTTTCTATTTTTGGTAGAGACAGGGTCTCGCTCTTGCTCAGGCTGGTCTCGAACTCCTGAGCTCAAACGATCTGCCCGCCTCGGCCTCCCAGAGTGCTAGGATTACAGGCATGAGCCACCGAGCCCAGCCAGGACTACATGTTTTAACAATTAGCTTTTCATGCAGTTTTCTCTTCCTGTTCCAAGGTACAAAAACAGATAATACGTTTATTGGGCTAAGAAGTCTTCAAAAAGGCAAACAAGTTTGAGCAGAGGGAAAGTATAAAACAAGTAAAACAGTATAAGGAAAGTATAAAACAAAATGCTATAATATAAAATAATTACTCTGGATTTTTTAATAAAACAATTAGAGGTGATTTAGCCCCAGTAACAGAATTTAGCAGTTTTCATTTTGATTGATCAATATATAAGACTTTGAGGAATATCACATGAATTTGTCTTAGATTTTAAGTGTAATTTTAGGAATTGATATTTCTATGGAAAAAATGATAAATGAGTCAGTAGTTATACTAATAAAAAAAAGATCTGGTATTATGCTCTCCTTATTTTTAATATTTTCATTTTGGAATTGTAGTAATTCTAAAAATAGTAAATATTACTGATAATATTTCAGTTCTTCCATTACTGTTTTACTATATACTAGGTTAGGGTTATATAACTTCCTGGATTCCTAAAAGTAATTTTTGTTGCATGTATGAACAAAATTCTTTTCTATCTTTTTTTTTTTTTTTGAGACATAGTCTCACTCTGTTGCCCTGGCTAGAGCGAGTGCCGTGGCTTCAGCCTAGCTCATAGCAACCTCAAACTCCTGAGCTCAAGCAGTCCTACTGCCTCAGCCTCCTGAGTAGCTGGGACTACAGGCATGCGCCACCGTGCCCGGCTAATTTTTTTTTTTAATATATATTTTTAGTTGTCCAGATCATTTCTTTCTATTTTATTTTTAGTAGAGACGGGGTCTCACTCTTGCTCAGGCTGGTCTCGTACTCCCGAGCTCAAATAATCCGCCCACCTCGGCCTCCCAGAGTGCTAGGATTACAGGTGTGAGCCACCGCGCCCGGCCATATCTTATGTATTTCTAATTTTATAATGGAAAAAGTATGTCTGGCATAGAATAGGTAAATGATTCAATTAGTTGAAATAGCTTTGAGTAAATGTAGCTAGAATAGCTTTGTTAAAGGAGATATACCAATATTGCTTACTTTTTTTTTTTTCTAGTTTAATTGCATAACATTACACTGACTAAAACTACAAATGAGTGTGTATTGATGTGGTCTTTTTTCCTTTCCATATTTAAGTAAAAGAAGGATGGATGGCATTTTTTTTTACTTTTTTTTTTTTTTTTTAATGGAAATGGGATCTTGCTCTTGCTCAGGCTGGTCTCGAACTCCTGAGCTCAAGCTATCCTCCCTCCTCAGCCTCCCAGAGTGCTAGGATTACAGGTGTGAGCCACCGCTTCTGGCCTGTTGGCATCTTTCTTTATGAGACTTAACTTGTAGCAACCATAAAATGTAATTACAAGACATTTTCATTTAGATTATATTTGTGGGGTGCAGGGGAAGCCTAAAAATTTTTAAATTACAAAACTATCTATTGAGCCTTATGAACAAAAAAAATTCTTGGATAAGCTTTTGTTTTTCCTTGTCTCTATCTTAAATTTAAATTATAAAACAAGAGAAGCCAGTGATTAACACAAACATTAAGATTCTCTTCATGGTTTTAAAAGTCATTTTTTCCATTCTAAAAATAGCCCGGGCTCATTATTGGTTTGAAAATTCATAATGGTATTAATAGAAAGGGGGAGCAAGGCATGATGGTATGTACCTGTAGTCCCAGCTACTCAGGAGGCTGAGGCAGGAGGATTGCTTGAGCCCAGGAGTTAGGGGCTGCACTGAGCTGTGATTGTGCCACTGTACTCCAGCCTGGGCAACAGAGTGAGACCCATCTTTAAAAGAAAAGGAAAAGGAAGCGAAAAATGAAAGGGGAGGGCCACACAATTCAGAGACAACCATCATTAGCATTTTGGTACATTCTTTCCAGACACATTATTTACATAGTATTGAATATATGTTATATACAATTCTTCATCATGCTTTTTGTAACATTCTTTGTTATAAACTCTGTTAGCTTTTTTAGTGTCTGCCCAACATTTTGAGTTGGATTACCTTAATTTACTTGTCTTTGTATTTAAAAAATTAATTTCTGAACAAATACATGTATATACTCCTTTAAAGGGCATTTGGATTATACTACAAATTAGTTTTTTAGAACTAGCAATCTGATTAGAAAACACCATTTTCCCACAGTTAGAAAAGTACATTATCTTACCTTTTTGTGGAATCGCTGCAAAACTGCATTTGAAAGTCATCCTTAATATTACCAGGGTTCCAGTTGGGTTAGATAGGATCTTTGGACTGCTTTACAGTTTTTAAGTCAAAGCCAATAGAAAAAAATACCAATAGAAATTTTCTGTGGAATAATGGTGTCACTAACTACCCTGTAAATGTTTTCAAAGTAAGTGATTACCAGCCTGTAGTATTTGGCACATGCACAGAGAATAAACTTGACTGTTTATAATTGTATGTGGTTGTTTCTAGGGTTTTAAAAAATCTTGAGTATATTTTAATTTAACATTATTTGTGCATTCTAATAATAATTATTTTAGGTCCACTGGCTATTCTGAGGTGATAGTTGTCGTTGGAGGATGTGAACGAGTTGGAGGATTTAATCTTCCGTACACTGAGTGCTATGATCCTGTAACAGGAGAATGGAAATCTTTGGCTAAGCTTCCAGAATTTACAAAATCAGAATATGCAGTGTGTGCACTAAGAAATGACATTCTTGTTTCAGGTAAATATAGAATTATTATGGTAGCTACTTTTAATTTGGACACAGCTGGGCTATTTTAAACAATAACTGTGTCTTAAAAGAAAATAGTGAAATGTGAATATGCCCACTTTAGACAGATCAGTTTATACAGTTCAATTGGGAATGATGTTTTGCTCTTAAAAACAGGCACAAGATGATGCAGAATGATTTATATACAAAAGATCCACCAGCAGATGCTTTTAATCATATCATATTTTAGTTCTCAAATGCATATAGAATATAATTTTTTAAGCTTTTAGCGATTTGTTTTGTGGAACACAGTAAAGTATGCAAAGTCAGAAGTACTCATAGAATCCATATTTTCTAAATTCTCCCAACAGTTTATACAGTTCAATTGGGAATGATGTTTTGCTCTTAAAAACAGGCACAAGATGATGCAGAATGATTTATATACAAAAGATCCACCAGCAGATGCTTTTAATCATATCATATTTTAGTTCTCAAATGCATATAGAATATAATTTTTTAAACTTTTAGCGATTTGTTTTGTGGAACACAGTAAAGTATGCAAAGTCAGAAGTACTCATAGAATCCATATTTTCTAAATTCTCCCAAAAGTTTATAAAATAGGATTTTCTTTAAAATTCTTAACTTGAATTTCCTTATTATATGTGATATGTTACCTTTAAAATCAGACAGACAGTAAAATGTCAGACTTATGCAAAGAGTAACTACATTATTTCTATGGTGGGAAGCCTGTTAATTGGTAAAATAATTTTACTGGCTTTGCAGATTATTATATTACTATCCATTGAATGATATAACAGTACGTGCTTTATTTTCTACAGTAGTATACTTTTTAAAAATGGATTATTTTTTAAAATATTTTTAGAATAATTCTGTTATTTGGGTGCTCCTGATGTGTGACTTTTAACAATTTTATACGTTTGTAAAATTTATATTCTGTATTTTATTATTTTGGGCCTATAATCATTACTTCCCAGGTTATCAATTGGGAAAGTTTAAATCTGCTCTGTAGAACTATTTCCACTAAATTTTAAGAGGTCCTTGTTTCACTTATTGAACTGAATTCTCATATTCTTGAATTGGGTGAATAACTCCCACGTTTTCATTACCTATGCTTTGGTGGCGTGGATGCCTTGGTGATAGATATATGATAATATTGTGTGTGCATTGTTTTGCATTTAAAGGTGGAAGAATCAATAGCCGTGATGTCTGGATTTATAACTCACAGTTAAATATTTGGATCAGAGTTGCCTCTCTAAACAAAGGCAGATGGCGTCACAAAATGGCTGTCCTCCTTGGTAAAGTAAGAGAAACCACTTTTTATTACTATTGCTGGCACATTTCCAAAATAAATGCCACAGCTGAATCCTTCATTTTACTCTCTGTCTGGCTATTTTGGATTCAAATGTTATTTCCTTCCATTTCTGACCTCAGTAGATAAACTGAAGATATAAACAATATTACACTGTACTTTTGAATGGATATTTTGTTCTCCCAATTTGGAATTCATGGCAGTGCAGCACATTTCTCTTTTCATGCACCATTGGAGTCCAAATGCCTAAGAAGCATTGGCAAATAAAGGAGTTACATCAAATACAGAGACAGGCCGATGTCTAATTCAAGCAATTTTTTTCTTTTTACTGACTTTGGCAGTCAAGCAGAGATATATTTATCTAAAGTGATGTTATTTTATCTTTTTTGTTTGTGCAAGTAGAGACAAAATGAATTTAAATATTAAGATAAACTCACCAACATATTTTAAGGAAAATGTGTTCTTGGCTGCAGCAAATGAATATCATAAAAAATATTAACACATATTTTGGGTTCTGAACTGTCCGTAGGAACTGGAGAATCAGCTGTAGACTGGTGGTTTCCAAACTTTTTATTTTATTTATTTATTATTTAAATTTTTTTTTTTTTTATTTTAGCACATTACAGGGGTACAAATGTTCAGGTTACATATATTGCCTTTGCCTCACCGGAGTCAGAGCTTCAAGCGCGTCCATGCCCCAGACAGTGTGCGCTGCACCCATTAGGTATCCCTTATCTGAAATGCTTGGGACCAGAACTATTTCAGATTTCAGATTTTTTCAGATTATGTAACATCTGCCTTATACTGGTTGAACATACAAAATCTGAAATGCTCTAATGAGCATTTCCTTTGAGCATCTTGTCCTCACTCAAAAGCATTTGAATTTTAGAACATTATGAATTTCAGATTTTCAGATTTGGAATGATCAACCTGTATATACCCTCTTTTTAAAAGTTAAATATAATATAAAAATCTATTTCCTAAAACAAATAGAAACACAGCAGTTAGAGCACCTTTATTATAGATGGGGTGCTGCCCAATTTGTGTATGTTAAAAAAAATTCAGCAGTTGTACCAAGGAGTCACTTGGAGTTTTTAGCTTCTCCCTGTCCTTGTCTCTTTCAGCTCCTCCAAAGCCACCTCAAAGTAATGAATAATCTCAGTAAAAGCAGCATCCTTGCTTGCTCATATATCTTTAACTAGTCTCCTAGCACTCCTTTCTAAAAAGATTGCTGCCTCTTGCTTCCTCCTATGGAGACATTTCAGAGTCACCAGTGAAAAAAACAGAACTTCTCTAGTTGAAACAGATGGTGGCCTGGAGCCCTTCTCACACAGGCTCCCATCAGTCCTCCTTCCCCTATTTCCCCGCAGAGGTTTCCTAAAACCTCCGTGCTATAGAATATGAGAGCTTCTCAACACATAGTTTAAAAGCTATTGTTGATTCCTAAGGACCTCAATTTAGTATGCTGCTGCTATCGACAAGGCCAATGAAATAATAAGGACCTTAAGAGAGATGTATTGGAAATAAAATATTAATATTAATAGAATCTTTTCTAAGACCATTGATTTGTCTGTACCTACTATATTATATATGGTTTTGATAGCTATGCCTCAAGAATGGCGAAATACTACTGGAAAGAGGGGCTAAAATAATAAAGGGATTGGAAGAAGATGATATCTGACTAAAAAAGTTGTAATTATTTAGTCTAGACATATAAAGGCAAATGACAGTGACCAATGTATAAAAACCATATATGTATTGGTGAACTCAAATTTATTTGACAAATATTAATATACTTGACTTGAAAGTACCCAAAGCTCAGGAGCACTAAATCAAGAAATAAAATTCCCATCTTACACAGCAAGTATTTGATTCATGTAAATCATTAACCTAAAAATTATAGGTTGAATTCAAGGTCATAAAATTATTAAAATTTATAAATATAAATACTCTTAAGAAAACCTGGGATGGTTTGGAGTATAGAACCTTAGAGTAGGAAGGAATCATAGAGACTATTTAATGTAACTTTGTGTGTAAAGACAAAGTTCTTTATAAACTTGGTTTATAAATAATCCGCAAAATGATATCATGTGATAGGTATTATTACTGTCTACATTTTATAATTAAGAAAATAAATACTGAGTCTCCAAGAGGATAGATAAACTGCCCTTATGTTGGGTGGCAGAGCTAGATATGAACCCAGCTGTCCTGGCTTCAAAGCCTATGCCCTTAATTGCTACATTGTGCCACAGGTTCCATACCCCTTATAGCTGTGTGGCCTTTTGTAAGTTACTTAACCTGTCTGAGCTTCATAGTATTGGGGACACAAAACCACCAACGGATCATTTTAACATAATGTGAGAAATGCATGACAGAACTGGTATTGGCTACTGTGAAAATTTGAGGAGCACAGAAAAATAAATTGTGGATAAATTTGAATGACAGGGTATGAAATTTGGCCTTGACCCTTAGACATTCATTGTTAACTATTAAAAGGAATTGATGAAGTATTTTAGGAAGATTAATCTGTGGCTTAGAGAGCACAATGGTGAAGATCAAGAGGTTATTTGAGGGGTATGAAATGATGTGGACCCTGAAGTAGGGTAGTGGCAATGGGAAACAAAAGGAAAGGATGGATTCAAGAGATGATGTGGAGGAAGGCTCAGTAGAACCTAATAGTTAATTAGATATAGAGGGAAGAATTGATGATGACTGTCCATAAAGAGAAATGTGGATTTTAAGCTGGAGAGCTTCTTCAGGTTAAAAAAGAAGATATATTTCTTATATATCACATGATGCTTAATAAATATCTTACTTTGGGAGGCCGAGGCAGGAGGACTGCTTTAGGTCAGGAGTTCAAGACCAGCCTGTACAAGAGTGAGACCCCATCTCTACAAGAAATAGAAAAAATTAGCTGGACGTGGTGGTGCGTGCCTGTAGCCCCAGCTACTCGGGAGGCTGAGACAGGAGGATCGCTTGAGCCCAAAAGTTTGAGGTTGCAGTGAGCTATGATGACACCACAAGCACTCTAGCCAGGATGACAGAATGAGACCCTGTCTCAAAAAAAGAAAGAAAAATCTTATTGATTATTTCATCTATTATATAAAGATATTAATTCGTGCTACCTTTCTCATATTTGTGAAAGGAAAATGTATGTGAAAGCTCTTTGAAATATAGAGTTCATTATGTATCAGGTACTTTTCTAGGCACTTCAGGGGCGAAAAGATATGTCTGCCTTCAAAGTTCTTACTGTCTAGTAATCCTTACATAATATTTTTATTTCATAGCTTTATTACTTTATAATAATCAAATATTTCATTATCCATGAGTATAAATATTTAAGCTAAGTCATAAATTCTCAGTGTGAACAATATTACCTCCAAGGGGGTGGTAAAGACTGGTTCTTGCAGGGTGAAAAAAATAATACTTTCTCATGTATAAATAACACTTTCATGCCTTATACATGAAAGTAAGGTATGTGGATATACATAAAGTAAGATAAACAGATACACAATTTATCTGTGACATTAAAATTTCATTGAGGGGGGAGCTATCAGGAAAAAAATACTTAAAAAGACTCCATGGTGGTGGCAGTGGGGTGATGATAAAAAAAAAAAATGCTCAGAAACTCTGAGCTAAATATATTACAAATACGGTTATCAAGAGCTTTTTAAAGGGGAGAGATCCCTCTTTAATCAACTAGTTCAGAATTCAGACTTTTGATAATTAAGATTTTTCCATGTATTTTACACATAGGTGTATGTTGTTGGAGGCTACGATGGGCAAAACAGACTTAGCAGCGTAGAATGTTACGATTCCTTTTCAAATCGATGGACTGAAGTTGCTCCTCTTAAGGAAGCAGTGAGTTCTCCTGCAGTGACTAGCTGTGTAGGCAAATTGTTTGTGATTGGTGGAGGACCTGATGATAATACTTGTTCTGATAAGGTAAGCTGTATTCTCTTAAAGAAATTACCAATGGTGTCTATAAGAAGGAAAATACAGAAGACTCTTAACAAGTAGGTAGCTAGGTTGCTTAGTGTGAGGGGGTCTTTGAAAAATTGGTACCTTATACTTTTGGGGGGAAAACACTGAATTCTGGGTTGCTAAAGTGAGACCTTAATGTATCCAAAAATTTGCTATAACAAATGTGATCCAATCTTTTTGAAATGAGACTAATCTCAATGTCAAAGTTTTATAATATATAAATTATTCTAAGCCTTTTATTACTATCATCTATAGAATCTAAAAATTATTCATGCAAAACACAGTTGGGAAGTAAATTAACAAAGGACAAGACATAGTAAATATATTGCTTCCAACTGGGTCATTTTCTGCACACTTTTATAGTATTTTTTAGGACAGAGATAGGAAAGGAAACCTCTGTAGTGTTAATAGAGGATGGCTCAAAGTTCCCACAGTTCATTCAGTTCATTGCACTCCTGGGACAAGAGAGCGTACCATCCTGACATCCCAGGAATACCATGTTTATTCTGGAAAAAAAGTGTCTAATGCCTAATTGGTTTAGCAATGTTAACTGAATTTTATCATTCGATTAATTTTTTTCTAAATTAAATTTAAATATAATGTCAAATGTTATTCATTTAGAATTCATTAATTCAGAATTTGTGATAATTCAGAGTAGACTGAATTGAGATTTACTTATGTTCTTTTGAAGAAAGGACTCCCTAAAAGTGTAAAGAAATTATATTCAGATTGAGGTATGGTTATCCTATGTAACACAATTTTTTAAAAATTTAGATTGTTAATTTCAGTGGAAATAAGTAAAATAAGCCTGGCGACCATTCATCCTAGAAACAATCTGTTTGTTATTCTTTTCTGCTTGACAGTAATAAATTTGCATTTCTTTTGAGAATTTTCATAATTTAGACATTTCACTATCAGGCTAACCTTCCTTAATTCTCTGGATTAACGAGATTTTATTTTTAATCATGTTTCTATATATTGGTAGACTATTAAATAAATTTGTATTTTTGTTTAGAAATTATAATTAAATATTTTTATATGTTATTAGGTTCAATCTTATGATCCAGAAACCAATTCTTGGCTACTTCGTGCAGCTATTCCAATTGCCAAGAGATGTATAACAGCCGTATCCCTTAACAACCTGATATATGTTGCTGGTGGACTGACAAAGGCAATATACTGTTACGATCCAGTTGAAGATTACTGGATGCATGTACAGAATACATTCAGCCGACAGGTAATAATATAAAACAGTCCAAAAGAAAAATAAATCTAAATCTAAGAGGGGGGGACCAAGTACATGATCATTATTAAAACACTGGGATTTTAAATTTAAAATACTTCATGTATGCATGAATTATTTTGTAATTTTTAAAAATTCCACATAAAGCATTATGGTATACCTGTTTTGAACTCCCTCCAAGGAATTGTTTTATTGAAATAACTTCTTTTTTACCATCCCATAGTGAAGTATCTGCTGTACTTGGGTGTTGATTTTTTTTCCCCCGTGACCTTTTTCAAAATCCTGCTCCAGTCCTTATCCTCTCTCTCTTTCATGTTTCAGAAGGGAGGAAATGTTCCCAGACTTGGGTTGCTTCTCTGGTTAGAGGCTAGGTAACTGGTAAAGGAAATGGTTGTGCTCAGGTGTCTTTCATCCGCACACTCCACCCGGAGCCCTACTCCCTGCCTCCACTGCCACCCCAAGAAGGCCTGCCCTTAAACCTTTTGATTCATGGCTCTACTCTCCTTCCTTCTACCACGAAAATGCTTGATGGTTCTGCTGCTGGAAATCTGGCTATACTCGTACCACTCTAGAGATTTTGTACTCTCAAAGGTGACTACTAATAATCCCCTCAGTCTCATTCATATTCTCTTGTTTTTCTACCCATTCCTTAAATATGGGTATTCCTTGAGCCTCTTTCCTCTGCCTTCTTCCCAGTTTATACTCTATTCCTGAATGATTTTATCTACTCCATACTGATGACTTCTAAGTCTTTATCTCCATGAAACCTCTCTCCTATGGTCCCAATTCAAATTTCCAACTGCCTATTTGATATTTTTCATGGGTGTTACAAGATTTTAAACTTAAAATAGAACTCACCTTCATTCCCAAACCTACTTTTTCTATATTTCCAAACAACCTAGAAAGTTAATTTATTAGATTTTCCTCACTTTCTCTTAATTTAAATCAATCCAGCATATCAGTTCAATATCCTCAAGAGTTTTTCTCTTATTTTTCCCATTTCTATTGTTCCTACTTTTGTTCAAGTTCTCATCAGTTCTTACCTAAACAGAAACAATAATATCTAATTAGTTTTCCTTTCTCTAATATCTTGCCTCTCTAATCCTTTTGCCACCAATTATTTTCCAACAAATCTAATTATGTCTCTTCCCTGATTGGAAACCTACTGAATGAAATCCAGAAGTTTTACCATGCCATTCTAGACCTCTATTTTCTGACCTTTGCTTGTTCTTTCAGCTTTACTTTCTATAGTGTGAAATGAATTATTATATCTGGTAGAAGTAATTTCCTGATAGGAATAGTTGTTTTCAAGGTTGCTTGCTTCATTTAATTGTGATCATTATTATCTGAAATTATGTTAATAAGCAGATGATATAATTATATATTGTTTTAGAATCATCATCTATAAAGTTCACAACTATAAAGTTCAATAGCGGGAACTAATTTATATCTGTAAATTAAAATTTTTTTGTTTTTATTGTATTCAGAACTTTTAGAACTTATAGAAAGAGCTCATTGTACTTTAAATGAAAAATATTATAATTTGGCCCATATTGATACAATTCATGGTGGTGTGGTATTTTGGAAAAAAGTGTCATTCATTAATGACAATGGGCCAAGTCATTCTGGATATATATAAACTCTCATAGAGGCATTTTTAAGTAATCACTAATTCTTTCAGGCCTGAAGATAGTAGCCTTCTATTATATAAGTCCATCAAGATTTAATTTCTTCTACAAAAGCGAAATTTATATACAACAAATCTGGTCTAGTAAAAATGCTTATTGAACTTGTTAATTTTCTATTTCATTGTTGGTTCTGTGGAACCAAGATAATAAGATGCAGTAACTTTCTGAATTAAAGTTAAATGTAAATGGAAGAATATTTGATCTCCAGTATAAACAAATCCATGAAATAGCGAATTTTTAGTGTCAGTTCTTTCTTTGAAAAATTACTCATCTTTACAAGAATTTTTTTTACATAGTAACTATATTATTGACAGAGAAGAGTAAAATTTAACTAAGAATTCCATTATGTGGAAAGTTAACTGTAAAATGTTATTTGCTTCATTTTTATGTCCCAGTCAAGGCCCCCTAATAACACAGTTTTGTTAATTTGGTTATAAATATTGCTCTCATTCATTCATTCAACTTGTAGGTAATCTCATGTAATGAATAATGCTACTCCTTGGTCATGTATGTAATAGCTACTTTCTATAATAAACTTCCTGTAATAGGAGAAGCAAGTCAAACTCTTCAAAGATATTTTTGTTTAATTTCTGTTAAATTAAAACCGTTCTATCAATCTACCATGTCCACCCTACCTCCACATCTTGGCCCCAATTACTAATATATAATCTATTTTAACACTCACTTCATCCATGTATTGATAAAATTATCCAGGACAAGAGTTGGGCAAAAGGGAGCTTAGCTCATGTCTCCTTGCGTTATTTTATGTGTCAGTTTGTTACCAAATCCCTTATCTTCAATGGTTAATTTTTTTTTTTTTTTTATGTATTTGGTTAAACAGGAAAACTGTGGTATGTCTGTGTGTAATGGTAAAATATATATCCTGGGTGGAAGACGGGAAAATGGAGAAGCCACAGACACTATTCTCTGTTATGATCCTGCAACAAGTATCATCACAGGGGTAGCTGCAATGCCCAGGCCAGTGTCCTATCATGGTTGTGTGACTATTCATAGATACAATGAGAAATGCTTTAAGCTCTGAAGCCCGGATACCTCACCCAAGAAGCCACACCGATCCAAGACGAGATGTTTTTAAAACTCCGGAGTGGGAACTTACCTCCTTTGTACCATATGCAAAAAATAGTAAAAAATAACAATTTGGTGCCTTTCTCCCCCAAATATCAGTCTTTCAAACTGTAATAAAGCCTTTCCTATAATAGAAAAAAGAATTCTTTTTGTTAAAGGTAACAGTGGTTGTGGTGGTTGTTGCTTGGCCTTTGAGAGTGTACCTTTTTAAGTATTTGTAAGAAGCCTATGTGGAGTAGAAAATAATGTCTGCATACCTTTTAGGAACCTGTGAATAGTCTCTTCATTTATGTATGTTTATCTGCAAGACTGTATATTCCTTATTTTGTCATATATGTAGAGAAAATTGCATGACTTGAGGCTTCATTTAGGTTGAATCACCTAATGTTCAGAATGCATTCTAAGGGGGAAAAAATCAGTTTTAAAAATTTTTGTCACTCACAAAGTATATCCAAACTGATTAATTTTATTGAAGGTTTTTTTTTTTCCCCTGTAATTGATAAAAATATAATGACAACAATTCACGTATTGTAAAATACTAATTATTGTAACTTTATTCTTAGAATTGCTGTCTATTAAACATGTTTTGCAGGGCGGAGCCGGTAGGTAGAAGATACAAAAAAATAAGTTCTCCTAAAAGGGGGATTTACATTACAGGTTAATTCCTCAGAAAAAATTAAATAACCATTGAAGAAAAAATGACCCATTGTGGCTCTCAAAGTATTCATGCATCATCTCTAAATCCTCTAAGGAAGCTCCTTTTCTTGAATCTGACAATGAGTTGAAATCCATTTTGCAATATTGTCTTGTGAAAAACAAGGACAGGTTTTCTCCCCAGCCCAGTGGGGTTTGGTCTCATTAGTATGATGTTTTGGGTGAGGACCTTTTCCTTGGGTTATTTCCTTGGGCTATTTTCTTGTGAACAGCTAAAGATCCTGAGAGTCTCTACTGTTAAGGTACCTTTAATAGGATAAAGCAGGGACCAGCTATCTCAGTGGGTCCATTTTTCTTTTAAAGTTAGCTGTCTGAAAAAAACTTAGCAGTAGTTCCCATCTTCTAAGATAAGTCTTTCATTTGGTACCCATTGTGTAAAACATTGATCAACATTTTCAAGCTTCTATACAACAAACTGCTTTTGTCTAAATTTCTCAACTCCAGTTTATAAAGCTTATCAATTTTCAGGGGCAAATGTAAAATTTTTTTCTAAGACAGATAGATATGGCAGGAACTATAGCATAAGTGACTATCATGATTCTGGGTGGACACCTAATAATTTTCAACATTTTAGGGATGTTCCAGGTAGCTTGCTCTATTTTGACTTCCCAGTCACTATTGTCTCTCACATTATAATTGTATATTCCTTGTCATAGGAGAGATGATGCAAATATGTGATTATAGTGTTGCCAGATTTCTGTTAAAACCAAGATTGTAATCAAAAACCTAACATTAGTAAACTTTTTTTCTCATCTTAGAATGATACAGAGATTTCAAATAGTCATTGGAAACTTTAATCCTTTAATGTGTAGCTAGAATTTCCTAGAATCTAAATTCTGAGGAAAACTCTGAAAAACTTACAAATTTTTAGGGAATTTTTATTTTTTAAATCATAATTTTAAAATGATACATACCTTTTTGTGATAACTATCAGAGCAATTTAGAAAACAATTTTCCATTATTTTAGTTGAAAGATAGTTGTAGGTACAATTGGGATACTTCAATTTTAGAATAAACATCTACTTCTGCATTATACTTTTATAGATAATAGAACCTATGTAGTTCAAAAGTTATTTACAGTAAATGAGATAATGTATGAAAAAGTGTTTTGTAAATGCTAAGGATTATACAAATGATAGTTGTTATTTTTCATGTGTATTTGTAAGATCTTGCCCATTCATAAATACAGATATTTCACATAAAAAAGACTTTCTCAAGATAACTTTGTATTCTAGTATTTTTGTCTATTATGAAAGTATTAACTATTTACTTTTATTTTGTTACACATTTATTTTTAATATCCATGTGTTTATTATAGTAAATTTGAAATGAGATCCTAAAAATTTGTTTAAACACCTCATAGTGGTATGTTTAATTTCTTTCTCTACATAATTTAAAATTACATAAATTAAGTAGTTGTAATTTATGTTGAAGGCCACCAAGAATTTAGCTTGAATTTTGGAAAATTTAAGTAACCATTTTTAAAGTTACCCAAATCTTTTTTTTTTTTTTTTTTGAGACAGGGTCTCGCTCTGTTGCTTGGTCTAGAATGCAGTGGCGTTGTCATAGCTCACTGCAACCTCAAAATCCTGGGCTCAAGCGATCTACCTGCCTCGGCCTCCTGAGTAGCTGGGACTACAGGTGCGCACCATACCTGGCTAATTTTTCTGGTTTTTGTAGAGATGAGGTCTTGCTATGTTGCTCAGGCTGGGCTTGAACTCCTAGCCTGAAGTGATCCTCCCACTTCAGCCTCCCAAAGTGCCAGGATTATAGGCATGAGCCACCATACATAGCTCATTATTTTAATTTTTCAAAATTATTTATCCTCCTATACTAATTCTTAATTAGATAATGGTGTTAGCCTTGATAAAAAAGAATCTTAGAGTATAATTAGTATATCAAAAGGGAAATATTAACCAAATTGGTGTCAGATTATATTCACTCAGTTATCACATAGTTGACAGATTTTTCTTTTAATAGGTGATGCTCATATGAGCCTTTGGGTTAGAATTTATGTATATATGCACGTGTATATATGTAGATAGTATGGTTGTATACACACATATATACATACACCAAGAATTTTAGCAGTCTGCGATGGTCATAAAAAAAGCACATAAAGTAAAAATTAGCTGACCATACTAAATTCAATTCCAGAAGACTCTTATTTGGGCATTTTGAGAGCTTTTTTACATTTGAAAGTGCATAATGAGTATTAGTAATAATGACTTGTACACAGTCAGAATCTATATAACACATTTGGTTTTACAAGGTCAGAAGAAATGAGTTTGCTAAACGCAGCTGTTAGGATACCTCAGTTGGAAAGGGAATTCAAAGGTATGCTTTGTGGAATAACAGAAAAGTACAGTTGGTTTTGTTTTCTGTGGGTTTTGTTTCATGAACTTTAATCATTTTTGATGTTTTCCTCTATGTGAGTGAGCTACAAAGTGATCTAATTTTTATAGCAGAAGAACTTCCTCCTTTTCTTCTCTAATCTTCCTGCTGACTTTACTGCACAGGTATGAAATGGTAGCATATTGGATCTTTAGTAAGCTTTTTTTTTTTCCTAGATGACTGAAATATAGCTATTTACTCCATTTAAACCAGGTGTTCAGAAAAGATGATGTAAATACTCAGGGAGGGTATTAACTTGTCATTTTTGCCTGTTTGGGGTATTTAAAGTGCCATAACTAAATAACCTTCACTTCATGGTTCTAGAGTAAATTTAATTTGGTATAAAGGGGCTTCACACATGACAGTGGTTAAACATTCATCCTTTTATATTTAGAAAGATGAAAATGTTTTGTGGACTGATACATTTTCTTTTAGTGAATATGAATTATTTATCTCTACTGTCAAATACCCTTTTTGAAACTCAGGAAAGACAAAGGTTCAATTATATCACTTTTGTCATTATGCAAACCAGGTATGTGTTTGTTTGTTTTTATTTTTTCTATTGTCTGGATATGGCAATAGATTTTTTTTAAAAATTGCTGTGAGAACCTATACATGAAAAGAGGGGTTAAATTATTTGTGTGTGCCTTTTATGTCTTGAGATTTATATGGAGAAAAGACAACATCTACTTCAAATTGTATTTTCAAAGAGGAGAGAGCTATTTATATGGTGCCAAGTGACAAGACAGTGTCTCTTAAAGGCTTCCTATGGACTGCCTTTGTTTTAGTAAACTCAAGACACCAGTTAACCTCAACATAGTTTTGGCTTTATTAGAATTTTTTGTGCATCATATTAAAAGCCAGGTTTACATCACTTCACCCCATTATTCTTTTTAGTTAAATAAATTTAAGTTCACCATACCAAGTAACCAGAATGGGGCAATTTGGTTGACCTTTAAGGCAGTAGGTTTGACTAGCTAGCTATACTTACTGTCACATCTAATGCTAGGCACCAGAAACCACTTGAGCCAGGAGTGTGAACTGATAATTCCAGAGATGTTTGCAACATACTTTAGACATTTTTAAGTGTTTTATATGAATGTTTTACATTTGTGTGATGGCCTTAGATATTAAATTTACCTAGTGCTGAAAGATCATCATAAATAATTTTTTTAGGACAGCAACAGTCATAACTTATTTTATATATTGTTCCAAAGAAAATAATTTGTTTTAATGTTTTTAAAATAACTGCACCTGAATTGTTTATGTGCCTTAAGTTCTCTAGTACTATTTCAACTCTTTTCCAATTTAAATATTAAAGTTTACCTTAGATAAGGTTCATATTTGTTTCCTATAGAGTAAATAAACTTCCCCTTCTTAAATTTTTTAATGGGCACCAACCATGTGGTTGCTTGGCAGAACGAGAATATTACGGGAGGTTGGTGAGTGTTTGGAGTTTTATTATATTTTTTGTTATTATTTTTTGATACTAGGTGCTGTTTAAGATATTCAGATGAACATCTATCTTACACTGATAAACCCTTGTAAACATCATTTGCAATATCTACATCTAGTGTAAAAAAAAGTATATCTACTTATTTTTGTTCCATTCTGATGTACTATTTTTTTTTTCCTCTACAGACTTTTTCATTTGACTTTCTTGAAAAAGCACTTACTCTTCCCGCCCCCATCACCCCTCCCCATAGTTTCTTCATTTACAATTTTGTTGAGAGCTTCCAGAGCTATCTAAAACAACACAATTTTACAGTTGAACAAAAGTATAATCTGCTTTACAACTAGTACAGACCTGTGGCAGCCAAAAGTCATTTGCTTTCAGTTAGAGGCTCCAGAGTCTTCACAGTGGAAAAAAAAAAAAAAAACGCCTTGTATTTCATTGTTCTCAATTCAGTTGTAGTACATGTAGTATATTTTGTTT